GACGTATGTGACTGAAATGCCTGGGAAGGGGAAGTGATTACGGGAGCCGCAGGCACCCTGACGGGGGGGTCTCCCTAATGGGGGGACGGGATGAACGACAAGGGCCAAGAAGGGGGCTGGCAGGTGGGCGACATCACTGCTGTAATTGGCGTCTTGGGACACGTCCCAGGTCTGCAGCGTCTCTGGGTGAAGAGACACAGACACCTTCCTCCAGTGGGACCTGAAGCCTTGAAACCACATCACTCCCAAGAAGAGCAGTGCAGGTGCAAGCCCACGGGCCATGCGCAGAGGCCGCGGAGCGGGCCTGACTGTGCACCGGGTGAGGTGGGCGGCGATCCAGACCCCGTCAGCTTCCGGTGTGGCCCGAGGGCTCCCCACCCTGCGCTGCAGGCCTGGGTCTTGCCCACCAACTCCAGTCATGGGGTGGCAGGTGTCTGGGGGTGGCGGGAGGTGGGGGAAGGGCAGAGGGGCCTCCTCCGCTGCTCGCGTCCTGACCTGCCCCACGCCCCGCAGCAGCGCCCCTGGTCCTGGGAACAGACTTCCCCCTGGCACTTTCCACCCCTCACGTCCCAGCAGCTGGGGCCACCTCGCCCCTCCATCCAGTCAGGATGGTTTCTCGGAAGCAAAGGGCAGTGAGGAGGTCTCGTCTCCAGGAAACACAGGCTGGCTGGGCCCTCTGCTTTCTGTTTGCTGCACCGTCACCATGGAGGGTTTTGCTAAATGAAAATAACGAAAATTCCATCAGTGCAGCCCTGTGCAGGTCTGATGGCTTCATGTCACAGCTGCTCCACGTGAGGACTGTCTCCAGATGCTCCAGGCCACCCGCTGCCCTGGAAGCTTCACGTGTGAGTGATGTCACATGGCATTTTTCTCTTCTGGCTGACTTCACTTAGTGTGACGAGCTCCAGGTCCATCCACGTTGCTGCAAATGGCATCAGCTTATTCTTTTTGTGGCTGAGTAGTATTCCACTGTATAAACACACCACAACTTCTCCATCCAGCCATTTGTTGATGGACATTTAGGTTTTTCCATGTCTTGGCTACTGTAAATGGTGCTGCTGTGAACATTGAGCTGCGAGTGTCTTTTTGAGTTAACATTCCCTCTGCACATATGCCCAGCCGTGGGATTGCTGGATCATATGGTAACTCTATTTTTAGGTTTTTGAGGAACCTCCATACCGTTTTGCATAATGGCTGCACCAAACTCCATTCCCACCAGCAGTGAAGGAGGGTTCCCTTTTCTCCACAGCCTCTCCAGCATTTGTTGTTTGTGGACTTTTGATTGATGGCCATTCTGACTGGTGTAAGGTGATACCTCTTTGTAGTTTTGATCTCCATTTTTCTGATAATTAGTGATAATGAGCATTTTTCATGTGCCTATTGCCCACTTGTATGTCTTCATCGGAGAACTGCTCGTTTAGGTCTTCTGCCCATTTTTGGTTTGGGTTGTTCATTTTTCTGTGATTAAGCTGTATGTGCTGTTTGTATACTCTGGAAATTAAGCCCTTGTCAGTCACATCATTGGCAAATATTTTCTTCCATTCAGTATGTTGTCTT